AGTCATTTTCTATTATCTTTTGATAATTATATTTTTGATAACCATTAATTGATTAAACTATTACAGTTAGACCACTCTAACACCCTACGTCGTAGAGCCCGACACCTGTTTTTAAAATCATTATGTGACCCCTCTTCCTGAGTGCCTGGGTTATCGCAGGTCATACCCCACCTTATTAGGAAGTGAGAGGGTGATAGAAAAATCAGGTCTCACATGAGATTTGTTGAGATTGATGTGCAATATCAACATACTGGCCCTTAAACAAAAAAGGGTTTCCCAGGGTGCTGTACCCAGAAACACAAAGCTGACCAAGGAGTCTGTTATCAGGGAACAATAAGCTGAATGTAAATGTAATGTATCACATTCAGATCCCACAGCAATGTGTTGTCTGTCTGTGGCTCTCATCCTCAAACCCATTGGTTTCTATCATTGATTTCAAGACATAAATATTTAAAAACCCCTCACAGATGTATAGTTTATTTTATTTTTTCCTGGACACTATAGGTTTCATCAGATGCTACTCAAACAACAGGAAATAATGACTATTTTCAGCAGTGGATTATTACACATTTGATGCTCTAGTGACAGTACCCCCAGCTTTATCCTGCAGAAGAGAGGTAAAGCTGGGGAGTCTAAGACGTCCCCCATAGGTTTGTGAAGAGCCATTGTGAAGCTCGGTGTGGTTGGCTCCATCTTGGTAGTCCCGACGCCGCCAGCTCCCAGCTTATCCAAAAAGGACAAAAAGGTCTGACAATCAGACTAATTTCTGGAGCTAGGCTAACCTGTAAGCGTGTCACTCAGTGTTTTTACATCAAATTAGCTCTGGTTCATGAACCAGTTCCGTTCAAGATTCTTGGAACCATGGTGCTATCTTGCAAACCATCCCACGTTTCCACCAGTTTTGAGTGGAACCATAGTAAGCAGATGCATCATCAACAGAGGGCACTGCACAATGCACAACGACCTGTAGAATATGACATGACCACTTTGGTTTACCAGGGAAAGGTAGGAGTGGAAAAGGCCTAGGAAGGGGCCCTCCTAATATGAAACACCAATCGTGCAACATAGTTGAGTAGGAAAACACGGGTTGGATTCAAATTAATTTAAGCCATGCACATTTTTCATTCATTCCAACTAATGAGTCACCATGTTAACTAGGGACTTACTGTGAAAAAATATTGATTAGCAGAGCAGCTAGTGTCTTATGAGGAATTTTTATACAGGTGAATTTGGGGTGTTTCCCACATTATAAGAATGTTATGAGAGGTGAATGAGTCTTGCAGGGAACAACTTAAAGCTCTAGTAGGTAACCTTTATTAAAATAAATGCATATTTACTGAAACTTTCACTAAATCCTGACACAAATGAGGTTCCTCTGGCCAATTCTAGTTTTCTCTAGTGATCTTTCTCTCCTCTGATTGGTTGTTTTTGTTTAGGCCTGGTGGATTCTTGCAAATGACATTAGGAGCACTAGGAGGAGCATTTTTATTTTATTTATTTTTTTACACATTATCTGTCTCATGTACTACTGTCAGGATATAGTGTTATAGTTTCAGAAAATGTAACAAAAAGTAATTTTTATTAGAATTACCTACTGCAGCTTTAACCAAGCCAGGTGTCTTAATGATCCACTGTTCACTGTTGGGGCGGCAGTAGCTCAGTGTGTAGGGACTTGGCTTGGGAAGTCCCACAGACCACAAAAT